ACAGCCGCGTTCAGCGTTGCATTGTTCTTAAGAGCCAAAATGTGGGAGCAGCCCAAGTGTCCATCTATGGGGCAATGGATAAAAAAACGAGGTCCATCCGCATAATGGAGTGCGAGGAAATTCTGACACCTGCTGCTGCACGGATGAACCCTGAGGACATTGTGGGGAGCAAAATAAGACACAGGAAGACAAATACTGTAGGATTGCGTTTTTCTGAGGTACCTAAATAGTCAAACCCGTAAAGACAGAAAGTAGAATGGTGGTTGCCAGGGGCTGAGGAGAGGGCGATGAGGAGACGTTCTTAATGGGTATGGAGTTTTAGTTTTACAAGAGGAAAAGCATTCTGGAAAATTGCTGCACGGCAAGGCAAATGTACCTAATGCCCCTGACCTACACACAGTTAAGATAGTAAATTTTGCATGTATCCATAATTTTTAAAAATGGGACCAGTTATGCATGTCTCCTGGGGTTGCTTTGAGGATTTCTTGAGATTATAAAGAATCTCCCAGTATGGTGCCTGACATATAGTGACTGCTTTGTGTATCATAACTTGCTGCTACTGAAGATTAAGTTACCTGGCCTCTCTGAGCCTTGCTCTCCTCAGCTAAAATTTTCCAAGAAATATTTGATGAGCCCTACTGTACTACACCACATTCATAAACAGCACTTCCCTTTTTCCTTTTGCATGGAGTATAGAGAGTAGAAGACGCCTGTTTGCACCAAAAATGTTCCATCTTGATGGGGAGAAAGAAAGAAATGATGGATGGAGAAGTTCTAGAAACTTTTGGGAGAGGTGAGTGTCCTCCAGTTGTCTAGAAATAAGACAAGGGCTTTCCACTCCCACTAAGGATGCCCTGCACTTCCCAGCTGACTCTATTCTTCCTAAAATCTGCCACTTCATCTCAGGGCCCAGTTAGTGCCATCATTGTCATCACCACCACCATCATCATCACCTCCACCATCATCACCACTATCATGATCCTCACCATCACCATTCTTCTCATTACCATCAACGTCATCACCTCCACCATCATCACCATCACGATCCTCACCATCACCATCCTTCTCATTACCATCAACGTCATCACCTCCACCATCATCACCATCACGATCCTCACCATCACCATTCTGATCATTACCATCAACGTCATCACCTCCACCATCATCATCACCATCACAATCCTCACCATTACCATTCTGCTCATTACCATCAACATCATCACCTCCACCATTGTCACCACCACCACCACAATCCTCATTACCATCAACGTCATCACCCTGACCATCATCATCACCATCACGATCCTCACCATCACCATTCTTCTCATTACCATCAACGTCATCACCATCACGATCCTCACCATTACCATTCTTTTCATTACCATCACCTCCACCATCATCACCACCACAATCCTCACCATCACCATTCTTCTCATTACCATCAACGTCATCACCTCCAC